GTGTGTGTGTGTGTGTGTGTGTGTGTGTGTGTGTGTGTGTGTGTGTGTGTGTGTGTGTGTGTGTGTGTAGGGAGAGGGGATATATGGGAACTCTCTGACCGTTCTATTTAATTTTTCTGTAAACCTAAAACTGTTCTAAAAAAATAAAGTCAAATAAATAAAGTCTATTAATGATTAAAGGGGGAAAAAAAAAAAAGCATTACAGCCACAAATCATTTGACTCCTGTAGAGGGCAGGTCATTTCCATTTTATAGTCAGTCCTCTTGATTCTAAGTCTACTGTACTATACACTAAACTATTACTGTCCCCTAGAGAAGGCTGGATTTTCTTTTCTTAACAAGACCTTTTACAAACGATCTGTATGGTCAGATGATTTTGCACATAAAGGAATCATACCCAAGTCAAAGTTTCAAAGCCTTGGGCCAGAACTCGGTTTACTGGAATGTGGCAATTTCCTACAGTGAACTTATATACCTGCAGTAGCAGAGGCAGGTACAGGAAACTGACAGAAGGGATAACAGAATCCCATTGCGAATTCTTTCTAATAGAAAAAAAAAAGAACAGATACTAAAAAAAGTGTGATTCCCTAATTCAGCTATACCCAAGAACCAGATCTAACTTCAGAACCCAGACTTCCATCTTCAGCCACAAACCTGTTATCTCCAGTTGTCACCCAAACATCTTTATTATTAAACATCCTCACCAGTAATTCAAGTCAAACCTCTTAAAAACTACCCTGTTTCTCCTCTCCCCGACATTGCAATGCCCCAAACCTGTTATTCCTATATTCATTATCTCACTGTTCATGACCGAAACCAAGCTAAATATCTTGAAGTCAGTTTCTATTCTTCCTCCTTCTTTATCTTCTACTATCTTCAACTATTATTTACTGAACACAAACTGTGTGCCAGCCACCATGGATGCTGGCATCTAAAACACAAATACGGAGAAGATAACTGGTCTCCCACCTGCTGACTGTCCTCTAAGTTCTCTCATCGCAGCCAGGATCAGTACCACAGTAGCCTAACTTGTCTCTTGACTGCCAGCCTCTCTCTACCCAATCTCTCCAATACCCCCTACAATCCATCCTCCACCAAGTCACTTAACTGCTAGAAGCCTCTCCATAGCTGCCTTTGCCCGCAGGATAGAGGACCACATCTCCAGCACCCTCTTCAAGGCCTTGAACCATGTGACCCAATCCTTCCTCTTCTCCATCCCCTTAATGCCTCCATGATCTCTACATTCTGGACACATCTAGTGTGTTCTAGTTCTCAGACTCTGCCATGATATTAATATCTGTACTCATCCCCTCTGCCTGAAATATATTTTCCCTTTTTTACCCATATAACATCCTTTTTCTCCAAGGTCTCATTCCAACATCACATCTCTGAAGTTATATATTAAGCAGAACCTCCTCAAATTCCATTACAAGTCTGTTCTTTGCACCATTATACCATATCCAAATACTGTAGACTAGTTAGCTTTAT